TAAAACATGGGTCCGCCAAATCTTTAACTACGGTGGATTCTGCATTTGAATAGCTGTGCTCAACCTTAGCTTCGGAAAGCAGAGCCTCGCGATTCTAAAGAGAGGAGAAAAAAGGAGGATGAAGAGCAGGATGCGGCCATCGTGCTTCGAAAAGAGGCAGCCGCCGGCGTAGATGTAAGAAGTTCGATCCCTAAGGGAATTCGAGAACCGACGGGTTCGCAAAAGCTCAACAAATTAGAATAAAGCATAAAAAAAAGGGTGAAATATATTTGAAATATTTATTACTATTTGAATGAATATAAAATAAATATAAATAATTATTTTTATTTAATTTTAAAAATAAATATTATGTAAAATTTAATAATGATGATGATTATGGCCGGTAGCCAGCATTAGCAATAGCGATGAGCAAAAATGAACATTAAAAATATAACAATATTTTATAGAGCAGAGCTATGTGAGACTTCTATAAGCCCACTTTGTATACTCCATTCAGTCTATCATAACTAATGTTACAATGAACAAATCATGCATTTATATTTTTTTATGAGAGAACATGTCAAAAATACGAGTAATTATTGTGTCCGGACACGGAACGCGTCCAGAGACCAATAACAACACGCCACGTCACCTGGAACTCGGTACCGAGCACTCGGTATTGCTCGGTATACGTTCAGATTTTTGATTTTTTGTCCGAGCGTAATAACTTTTCAAAAAATACGACTAACTATTAGTCCATTCATTCCATTCCAAGATGGGCGATATATAATAGAGTTAAGAGGTTGCCAAATAAAGATAGAGAATAACCAAAAAGGTTATAGACTTATAGTTGAAGTTGGATGCTCGAAAATATTTTTGAAAAAAAAATATTATATAGGGCATCTTATGAGAGGAGGGAGAAATTTTGAGGAAGAAAGTGAGAAGGTGCATACCACTGACCCAACCTTTGATGACATATAGCAAGAGAAGGACATGGAGTCAAAGGTTTAAACATGTGACACCTAGAATCTAATTTGATAAAATTATTTCTTTTTATCTTTTATATAACATTCAAAGCCATCTAATTTCTTTTCAATAATGAAATATCATGAAAAGTAACTTCTATCGATCAAAACATTAATAAATATATGTATTCATTGCTCCAAAAATCATATACAATAGTCATTAGTCATACAAATATAATAATCAATCTTCTCACTCTCGAGTAAAAAAGGATAACTAAAAAACAAAAAGAAACAAGATAATAATAAAATTTGAGGAATCCTATAAGTCTCGCACTCATGATCCTCTTCTCTGGCCTGAAATCATTTAAATTGCATTTAATGAGCTAAAAAGCCCAACACGTCACTAAAAATTCTATAACTAAGTTCAAAGTATGGTAAATAAGTAATATGTATGTAATCATCCTATTCATAAACAATGGCAGTTAATATGATCATGATTATGTGTAGGAATAGTAAAATACATGCTATACGATAAAATCTGTGAACCAATAAACTAATATAGTACGAAGGCCAGTAAAGCAGTATAGTACGAAAACAATAAATATGTAAACCAATAAGGATGTCAAAACAATGAAAGAGAAAATAATCATTCTTATAAATCATACGTTGTAGCAATGCTATCAAATCAATAAAAAAACTTATAAATTAATAAAATTGAAGCCACTATGAAGACTATTGGAATACATAATAATGCAATACTCTCAAATCAGTATACACATGATATTTAATCATTTTATATCAGTATCAAATCATTATCTTATATCACATGCTCAGTAATAAAAATCACATAATTAGTACTAATAAACCATGAAATAATGAATCAATAGCATTAATAGTGACGGTGATTCAATAGTAGTATCAATATTGGTTAAATCAGTAACTATAACAGTAAAAGCAGTATGGAAACCGTAAATCAATATATTGACAGTAAAAGTATAATGAATGCATCCAAGTAATCACACTAACAAGGAGCTATGGCTTAAGCAATGTTTTTTTTAATAATCAATAAACCGATAAAGCAGTGACCATTGGCTTAATAAATAGAGTCATTACTTGTTATTCGTCGGCACAGTAATCATCTTCTTATAAATCTCAATCAGTAATCACATGAGACGATAACAACAAATCACAACATTTAAAGAAAAGCTCGTCACTCCGCTATCCTATACATGTCAGTTAGTCTCCAACAAACATTAGTAAATATCAAGTCCTTACTTATTTTTACACATACTATTATTATAATATTATAAAAATAAAAGCAACTAGTTATTACTTAATCACATGCCAACATTCACTCACAATACTTGTATTAACAGTTAAATCATATTAAAATGTCAAAATCACTATTCCCATTCAAATCATACAAAATATAAATAGTTCTATTTTACTTGATGAAATTTCAAAATCAACTAGTCAAAATATCCATAATTATTAGTATTATAACATACAAAAGAATTGCACGGTTGAAGTTCACTAAATCCAAACAAAATGCAATAAAATTATTTTAGGAAGAAATTCAACTATTGAAGTCAAAATCTTTGAAAATAAAAATGTAATAGAAGTTACCTACAACGATCTGAAGATTTTTCTTAAAGGCGATGAAGCAAACCGACAATCAAAAACCTGACTTTTTCTTTCCCCTCTCCTCCTTCCTTCCCCTTCTCTTGTATCCTTCCACAACAAGTCACGACAGTAGGTGAGAGAGTGACGGAATGGAGCAAATGGCATTTTATTGTGAGATAATGATAAATACTTCAAGTTGTTGACCGGCGCAAAACTCATATTTTTCAATGAACTAGAACAAAGTTTATTATAATAAATGTGAGATCTCATTTCTTGAAAATTCCATGAAATTATATAATTGTGATCCTTTTGCACCACAATGCTGACCTTGAAGTGAATAGTTAATATATTTTACAATTGCTTCCTTCAATTACTTAAGCAATCAAGGCTATTTGATAGAAGGGAGGAACTTGTTTCTAAAAAATTGCCTTTAGCGTGGAGCAAGGCAATTTTCTAAGACTAAATTTCAATATGATTTTCAATTTTGATAAAAATATTATCCACATATGATTATAACAATTCTAAAATCAACACAATTGGAATAGTCCAAAATTATTTACTTGTGGTATATGTTTAACAACCATTAAAAAAAAAACATCAATAATAAATAAATACATTTTTTTAAATAATAAATGAGAGGTAATTGTTTTATATTCCCTAATAACCAATTGTTATTTGCTAAATCACTTTAGTTCAGTTTTTTTTTTTTTAAAGAAAGAGATTGAAATCTAAACTAAAGCTTATATTTGGTTATGGTTAATTTAGTTTCTAAAGATTTTGAAAGTTTTTCTTTTATATTCTCTTATGTAATTAATGTCTTCACACTTATCATTTCTAACCAAAAAAATATCAAAATATAATTTTCTCCACCTATGATTACCTCAAAAATATACAAAACTCGCTTTAAATTTATTCAAAATTAACTCAAGTTTTTTATGGAAAAGTCCTCCGAAAATACTTACTATTTTTGTAGTTATAAAATTAACGCCCTAACGTTGTGTAGCCAAGCGGCCCAGTACTGTGTCCCCATAGCTCTTTCAGGCGGATTGAACATTTTTCTTTCTTATTTTTCTTAAGGATGACGTTCCTTGGTGTTATTTACAAGACTTTCTCTTCTCATTTGTGCGTGAGAACGGTGTAAAAAAGAAGAGAAGTAAGGACAACAAGAGAGAAGAGAGAGATCTTTACTTATTTTTCTCAATTTTCATAGTGGATTTCTTGGTGTGATGTGGCTACTTGAATTTTTTCCGATTTCAGATTTTTCCATGTTAAATCATGATGTCCTTTTATTTGTTGTTTATTTCATTGTGTGGTTTACTTTCACATCCCCCCAACAGGTTTCTCCTTCTTTAAAGTTAAGTGCAAAAAAAAAAAAAAAACTTAAGCCATATTTTCTAGTTAACTATTTGCATGTATGGTATTGAAAGAAACAGTAACAATCAAGTTCAATCTTCACTACATCAGCTCAATTTCACATTACAACAATAATACATTCAAATTTTAGGAAATAAAGACTAAAAAATCATTAAAATATAAAACATAAGGATATAAATGAATAAAGTGTTTAAAAAATTAATTAACATAATAAACAAACAAGGATTTCAAAATTTAAAAGATTTAGAATGTCTATAAAAAAATTAAGAATTACATCTCATGACATTATGTGGACATCAATGTAATAATGCCTCATCAACATATTATAGAATTCTTTCATCTCCAAAATTTGTCCCCAAAAAATATATCTGAGTTGATAGAAGTGAGGTATCAATAATTTGATGTCTATCAAATACATGTAACATTATGATAATACTTCTTCTTGATATGCAATTTTTTCATATATGCTTTCCTATGAAACATTATGAGCTGTTTCTTACAAATTCAAAAGAAGTGAGTGCTAATTAAAAACTCAGGTTTTGTTTGGGACAGTTTTTTTACTGTTTCTTAAAGCAGCTTTTAAGTACAAAAATTCTAACTTTTGCACTAAAAACTGTTTTAAGAAGCAGTAAGAAAACCGCCCCAAACAAAGCCTCAGTTTATTGTGAAATGAATGTCTTAAATGAGCTAAGAGTTTGCCTCTTAATTAAATTGAGTAGTTGGCCAATCTGCCTCATCGTTAACAGCCCTATGGCTGACGCACTTTTTTGTGTTCATGCATAATCTCATAGCTAGCATTTTATAGCAGAAAGCTGTTCTCTGTCCCTTTCTTAGATGGTTGAACTTCCAATCTGTTTGGTTGTAAGGTGAAAAAAATCAATAAGAGAGAGAAAACAAGCAAGTTGCAGTAAAGGTGATTGAGTCTGAAACTAAATCCAATAACATAGCCAAATCCCTTTTTTTGAGAAATTTAAAGCTATCTTTTTTTTCGTGATACATATTATTTTCTATAAATAGTATCAAAATTGATGAAGGTGGTGAAGACAGGTGTAGGGATACCAATAAATAGGAGGCCAAATCTAACCAGCTTACTGTTTCCCAAGGCACAGAAGATAGCTTGAAATGATAATAATAAGCCAAAAAAGAGCAGTTACCTTCAGTCTTCTATCCATTGTTGTTTTCCTTCATCCTCTTCATGACTGGGCCATTGCTGCAAGCCAGAAATCTCCAGGTCCACCGGCCGTTATCGTCTTCGGCGACTCGATTGTTGATCCAGGAAACAACAATGTTATTCTGACAATAGCTAAGTGCAATTACCCACCATATGGAAAGGACTTTGTTGGCCACAAAGCAACAGGAAGGTTCAGCAATGGCAAGATCCCCTCTGACTTTATAGGTGATTTTCCTAAGATTGCTAATTTGAGCCTCGAGTGAGCATGCATAGATTAACAAATTGGATCAACTTTTAGCTCAAATTGACCGTTAGAGCTAATTCTAGATCATATATATTTCTGAATGTATGTATGTATGTATGTCAAGATAAGAATTTATATAGAAGATTAGAACCAAATGAAATGGAATAGGCTTTGATTGGTTTCAAACTCGGTTCAAAAATGAAAAGCTAAGATCGAATCAAGTCTGTCTATAGCTATGCCTTGGCTCAGATCAAGCTCATGCCAAATGATATTTTACCATATTGTCTCAAACTGTTCCCTCAGTTTTCAGTCCTTATAAAGTAGGCTAGACTTCGGCTTCGTTTGGGACAGTTTTTTTTTGCTTTCTAAAACAACTTTTTAGTACAAAAAATTCTTGAATTAGAAAATTTTATACTAGAAAGTCATTTTAAAAAACAGTATGAAAGCAGTCCCAAACTAAGCCTTCAGAACGAAGCCATCAGCTAGCATTATCTATTTAGACTCGATCATTTCATGATTCGTTAACCTTCATTAAGTTTTGTTAGCATAGCTGAAAAAGACCAAAAATATGTAGATTTAATATTATATGTTCGTTCACAGTGATTTCTTTTCAGCTTCTCAGTTAGGAATAAAAGAATACGTACCTGCATATTTGGGGACAGAATTATCAGCCCATGATCTTATAACTGGAGTAAGCTTTGCATCTGGTGGCTGTGGATTTGATCCTCTCACATCTCAGCTAGTGGTATCTTTCATATACTTCTTACTGAAATATCAGATAGCAAGTTTGAGAAAAGTTCTTAGACTCATAAAAATTTAGCAACTTCACTTAACTTCAACATATTTCCTCTTCAGTCTGTGATTTCCTTGGAAGAACAGCTAAATTTGTTCGTGGAGTACAAACAGAAGGTGAAAGCCATTGTAGGAGAAAATCGAGCAGAATACATAACCAGCAATTCAGCATATTTTATAATCGCTGGAACAAATGATCTGGCAAGCACTTACTTCGCCACACCATTTAGGAAGTTTGAGTTTGATCTCCCCTCCTACATCAACTTTACAGTCCAATCAGCTTCAACTTTAGTTCAGGTATGAAAGATAAATTGAGATTTAGGCTTCGTTTGGGACGGCTTTTTTACTGCTTCTTAAAATGGTTTTTAAATACAAAAATTAAAATTTTTATAAAAAAAGTCGCTTTAAGAAGCAGTGAAAAAAGCCGTCCCAAACGAAGCCATATTATATTTCTTAATTTAAAGTACATGTTTGGTTCCATCTCATAAAATAACGTTATATTCAAGAACCTTTCATCAGTTCACTATTTGCTCTCATTTTTTACAGAAACTGTACCATTCAGGGGCACGAAAGATCAGTATTGCTGGTGCTCCTCCCATAGGTTGTTTGCCATCACAGAGGACTTTAGCGGGAGGAATTGAAAGAATATGCTCAGCAGCTTACAACCAAGCTGCAACCTCCTTCAATTCACAGTTATCAAAGGAGATGCAGAGGCTTAACAACATTTTGCATAAAGTAAAGGTCCTCTATATTGATATTTACACCCCTTTGCTTGATCTCATCTTACACCCTTCTAAATATGGTAAATACTCATTCTCTTACATCTACTTCGGCTTCATTTGAGATAACTTTCTTAGTGTTTTTTAAAGCAGTAAGAAAGCAGTCTTAAAGGAAGCCTTAATCTAATACCATCATTTTGAGAGTGAACCAAATGTATCTAATTCATTTTTCTAATATGTTCATTCAAATCATAGGATTTGTGGAATCCAAGAGAGGATGCTGTGGTACAGGAACTTTTGAGGTCACACAAACTTGTAATAGCTTGACCACCTTTGTCTGTGAAGATGCATCAAAATATGTATTTTGGGATAGCTACCATCCCACAGAGAGAGCATATGATATTTTGGTGAGGAAACTTGCCCAGAAATATGGTGCATCACTAAATTAACATGGCAAACAGGCAAGTCATCTTTTGCTTTGCTACTTCTACTTATGTTTTTACAATGCATATATGAATATATCCCAATATTGCTTTGAATTTTGCATGTTTTGGATAATCTAATTGAATAAATGATAGTAAGGGAGCGAGATTTACTTCATTTATGAACATTGTTATAGGCTTGAATGTGAATGAATCATGAGTAAATGGGCTATGATGAAAAAACTCTCTACTCAACTTATCTGCCATATAGCACATTACATAGTAATGAACATTAATATGTACTCTTATCAAGGAGAAATTATTAAATGTGGACAATGCATTTTCCTCTTCATGCAGAGCCAATATCAAGCTAACAGTTGGGGCCAAACACAAGATAATTTCTCCATGATAAGAGTTAGCTTGATATTGGCTCACAACATGTTCTCAATTTGAGAACAAGTTATAATTTTTTTCTAACCCAAACACAAAAATATATAACAAACATAAGATCACAACATGTTCTCAATTTGTATGTCAAATTAAAATTGAATTCATCACATTTATCACAACATATACTAAATCTAATAGTCCTCAATTTATTCACTGTCCTCAACCTCCTGAACCTTCTTCTATCATTGTTGTTTCTTGAATGACCTATGCTCCACCTACATCTCAATTTGTGTGATAAAATTGAAGGTAGTTGGCATATTATGTGAATAAAATATTCAACACCCTTAACAAATACATCTATGAGTGACTTTATTCCCAGTAATAATCTATTACACGTGCATGACCCTGACTTCGAATATCCATATAGAACTTGATCTTAAAAAAGTTAAAAAAAAAAAAAAAAGAATATTTGAAATTATATGAAGTCAATTGGTCTATTTTCCCACATCCCCTCTCCACTATTATGATTTTTCAATTACAATTCGTTAATGTAACTTTGCTATAACTCATTCAAACAATATAATTATAAGCATAAATCTAATTCTAAGGTCGTTCAATATAGCTAAAAATCTTAAAATGATAATATATGAAGGTAGTTACTCTCTTTCTCCACATCCCCTCTCCGCTATTAGGATTAATATTTTATATTGCAATTAATGAATGTAAGCATAAATCATTCCAACATTATAATTATAAGCATAAATCATTCAACATTATAATTATAAGCATAAATAAAATTATAAGATTATTCGACATAGAAATGTAAAAACTCTAAGGGGTTGTTTGGTTGGATTACATGAGGGTGTAAAGTATTCCAATAGAAAAGGCTATAATTTTTTTTGTTTTTTGTTGGATAAAAAATGAATGCAAAATAATGCAAATATAGCATAAACCATTCTACTTCATTTTTGAGGTAAACTAAACCCGCCCAACTTTGAGCGAGGTGGTTTATATCGCAAGCAATCTCGTTTGACCTTCGCAGACCACTATCAGTCACCTCCACCCGCCTCCGACCATTGCCACCCTCCCGCCACTTCCACCACCTTCTCACCGCCATTGTCGCAACCACCACCACCGTTGTCGGCCGTAGACGACCTCCATCATCGTTTTTCACCACCACCATCGGCTGCCGACCACCACCACGGCCTCTACCAGCTACCACCACTACCACCCTCTAACCACCGCCACTACCTCCATAGTTATTGACCACCGTCATCCACAACAACTGCCACCCTCTGGCCCCCACCGCCAGTCACCACCAACTTTAAACTTTACACCACATTCATTTAACTTCAAACTAAATAAAAAAAAATGTTTATCATAATTTACTTTACACTCGTCCAAACAACTCTAAAGAATTAATTTTACATTGTATTCCTTTTTGCACTGCATTTCTTTCAATTTGTATTCCTTTTTTAGCCAACCAAACAACCCCTAAGTCTAACTATGACTCTTTTTTAATAAAATCTAACGACGGGTACTAGCATTACTGTACCAGATTCCATCAAAAGTCTGCAGTTAATCATGTTTGGACGAGAGTAGTAATAGGATGGGTGACCTCCTGGCTGGAATTCTTCCCCTTTAAAAAAAATTTTAAAAAAAATTAACAAATGAAAACTAAATAAAAAATAAAAAACTACTTATGTGAAGTTTTACCTTTCAAATCTAAAAAAAATGAAGAAAAATGGTCTAGAAATAACCTTGAACTACGCCGGGCAACATAGAGTTTGAGAGAGGTTTTCGGGAGAAGAAAAAAATGTGAAATGGGATAGGGAGGTAGGTTTGGGCCAAAATAGGGCTTTTTCTGGCAAAATTTCTGATGGATTTTTCTGTCAAAAATTTTTTTAAAAAAATCTAACGAAAAAATACATTGGAAATTCTACCGGGGTACTTAATTACCAACGAAGTTTTAGCCAAAATTTTGGCCAAAAATTAACAGCAAAATTTTTGTCCGTAATAGGTAAATTTCCTATAGTGTCCACCCTCTTTATTTCTCTTTTGTTGACACCTCATTGATCCATAGAATCTCTATTGGCTACTCATCAATCTTTGGACTATTGTGATTAGTTTTTTTTTTTTTTTGTCTACTCATCAATTATTGAACTATTGTAATTATTTTTCTTGATTTTGTATGCTTTTTATTGGAAGACCTCCAATGATTGCATAAATACTTGACAAATACTACATTGAAATTTGTGGACTTTTGCAATTATTATTCTACCAACTCATTAATTTAAAAAAAATTATGAGGCATTGTTAATGGGATTAAGCCCACCTCTCCTTTACCATTTGAGATGGAGCTAGCTTTATTGTCTTTTCTAGGACCATAGGCTCTATGGTCGTTCAATTGCTAATTCTTTTGGTGGTGGTTCGCCATATTCTCACCCTATTTCCCCAGGCTTTGACCAATGATAATGGTTGGTTCTCCCCCTGTTGGATCAATAAATATCATATCTTAAGCCTCAAACTAATTGTTAAAAAGAGGGTCTTCTTTGGAATTGTGTTAATTATCATATTTTAATATCATACTATGATGACTTGCCTCATATGAGATGGCATAAATTTGTATGGCATTTGTTACTCCATTTGTTATTGATTTGATATTAATAATGTTCTTCAAGCTACCAATAATCTCTCGTTAAGACATATTATTACCTCTAATATTTATCAATTTTACTGGAATGAGAATGAAACTCGGAAAAGTTTCAAGAGAAGTGCTATGGAAAGTTCTAGAAGGGAAAGAGGTTATTAATGTTTATATTCAAGTCATTAGGGATATGTATGCGGCAGCTATTTCTTGTGTTCAAACATTCTTGTGTTCAAACACAATTTGAACTGAAATGAATAAGAAAAAAATTGGTAGAAACTTTGCTAGTAGTTCTTCAACATCAAAAGGCCATTCAAGCCGAGCTAAATTATTGAAAATAATATCATGAGTGAGCTGACATTATTCAATGCGCATTTGATGCTTCCGCCTAATTTTTATATGCTTTTCTCTTCTTCATATTAACTAATGGCGTTACTCTAGTTTTTCGTGCTCGCACTTCTTTTCTAGCTTCTTTCTAGCAAGTTTTGCGATAATTTTGGTCCTTCATTTTTGCTCCTACTTTGTTTGTTGCTTATTCTTGTTCTAATGATGGCATTGATGATGGTCCGAATACATCGCTACTTATTTGACCTAATCTAATACCTCTTTGTTAGTAGCTAAAGTTCCCTACCAACAGATCAATATGAGTTCTATGAGCAAACCTTTTGATTTGACACTACTGACTTTTGTTATTTATAATCTACAAATATATGTGAAACAACTATAAGGAATGATATGATAATTTGCCTCTGCCATCATAGGGAAAGTAGAGCATATGCTATGATTGTATAAAATGAAATTAGACAATAATTAAATGATATGATAATATAAGAGTGAAAATATTTAGCTACTAAAAGAAATAAATATAAACTATATTGATGGCTGCTTCACAGCATTTTCTTATCATCCCAATGTAGAACTAGAGATGATGAACCTTCTCTTAATCATTATTATTTAACCAAACATTAAAATTTTGATTCATTTCCACTTATTTCTTTTATGAAATAGAGCTATACAAATTGGTGCATTTAAATTTCTAAAGTAAGGCATCATCAATATAGTTCTAAAAATAGAAAAGAATAAAATGAAAATTCATATCAATTATTCAGATTAATCATTAAACCTTTTATTTATTAGAAATTAAATATGAGTACCAATAAGATAAAATATCATTTTATATGAAACTATTTTTTTATGTTGATAATCTGTTTCCTTCCAAGTTTCACACAAACTTATGACCAACATTACTGTAAAAGTGTTGAGTCCAACTACATAAATTTTATGTTAGAATTTAAATCAAAGATTTTGATATCGGCTTTTAAAATTTTCACCAACAAATGGCCTATTTATTTAGCGTCATTCTTTATTTCTACTCTTAAAAATTAAAGAAAAAAATGCTTAGTTATTGCTTTGTAAGTACTTTACTTTGAAATTTTAAATATAAATCAAATTATTTTTAAAAATAACCAAAAATATTCTAATAATTTTATTATTACTATTATTTTCAAAATATTAACTCCCACTTTCTCAATCTTGGCATCATTCCAACTCATAATCATTTAAATTATAATCATTTTCTTTCTTTTATAATAAATAAGCTAGCTCGAACTCATAAAATAAAGTTTAAGCTTGAACTTGAACTCAATTAATTAATCAACCTTAACCTCAACCCAAAGAAGACTCGAGCTCTACTTGACTTAGGCTTCATTTGAAACAGCTTTCTTATTGCTTTCTAAAACAATTTTCTAGTACAAAAAGTTTTTGAGTTAGAAATTTTTATACTAGGAAATTATTTTAAAAAGCAATAAGAAAGCCATCCCACAAAGCCTTAGGCTTCGTTTGGAACGACTTTCTTACAACTTAAAACAACTTTTTAATACAAAAATTTAAATTTTTGTACTAAAAAACTACTTTAAAAAATAATTAAAGAAGTAATCCCAAACTAACCCTTGATTACGACAAATTATTACATCCGATCACCGAACGCGGAAAATAAGTTCAGACATCCAATAAAAATTTGCAGCGTCATCTGCGCTTTAGTTGCACTTTAGTTGCGCTTTACCTACACTTTACCTGCGCTTTTAACTTACGTTTTAGTTGCGCTTTACATACACTTTAATTGCACTTTACTTACGATTTAGTTGCGCTTTACATGCGCTTAATTTAAAATAATATTTTATTAATATATGGACCTATCTCGACATCCGGTGACCGGATACAATAATTTGCCCTTAATTACACCCCCTAACCACACCCACAACCGACATCTGCATTTGGTTTAAGGACACCGGCTACAGCACCATGCCCTCTTCCAAATCATTAAATAAACCGCTGAGAAGATATTTAATAAGCAACATAAACAAAAATAATTTTAGTAAAATATCAAATATATTTTTTATTCATATCAATATATAAATAGAACCAAAAAGAACCCCAAAACAGCACCCTAATTGAACTAACACTTGCTATGAGCCAGCCACGATCATTTAATTCTATAATGCAGATATCCAAGCCAGAGAAAATTGGGCCATAGATGGTAAGCAACAGTAAATGACACAAGCAAAATTTTGAGAACTGTACATATAGAAGAAGAGACCGTCGCAGTGGAAGGCAAAGCTCCACTATTTTCTCAATACCTAATAATGCTCTTACAAAAGAACAGATGGGATTGCCTGAACTCCAAACGCAGAACTTGAGAGATAGACAAAAATCTGCACGGCTACAAAAGATAACAAGGAGCCAAAGCATATTTACAGAGACAATAATAGCTATGACTAGAAAATCAGCGAAGCTTATTCTTGGCAACAGCCTTGCATAACTCATCCTCATAAAACAATACTCTATTAGAAGCCAGAGGCTTGAGAAGGGTAGGTTTTGGCATATTAGGAAGCAACATACAATTAGAGGGTAATGTAGAATCTTGAAAGAGGACAGCTGCAACCTGTTTTATGTCGAGCAAATGAAGGCGAGGAGGGCGGGGAGCTTGCCTTGGAGCTTTCGGAGTAAGCGGGCTCGAAATCCTGATACCTTTGCCCTGTCCTCTGCAACAAAACACAGAAGAATGTAGTTAAGTGCATGGTTGAATCAACTGACAATTGGTTTCGTCGCTTACTACTTAAAACAGCTTTTTAGTACAATTTTATTAATTTTTGTACTAAAAGTTATTTTAAAAAGCAGTAAGAAAGTCATCCCAAACAAAGCCAAAGACTCGTGTTTGCATACCTCGTGAAAGGCCAACGTTCAGTCGGAAGAGGTGTTTGTATCCTAAGCATCTCCAATCTAGACCGGTCAGGTGTTGTGTAATTAAAATAAGTTTGTCTGGCTATAATCACCTGCGATATTTAAATAGCTATTTAGTCTTCTGAGGAAGCTCATTTTGATTTGTTGGTTTACAGCTTTGACTATCAACCAAAAAGTCTTACGTATATGATATGTATATGAGTTTAACTTAATTGACCTAAATGTCCCAAAAAAATACTATTCCAAAAAAAAATATGGACGAAATAATGATCTTCCTCTAAAATTTAGGAAGGCTTATAGAAACTGACCACAATTATTAATTATACATTTAAAAAAAAGTTTGTTTGCCAAACAAAGTAGGAATGTCTGCATTTTTTTAAATGAAAGATCACACTTTGTGACCATGGAATTATAGCCATCTCTTTAATCAATAGGCCACGGGCCATTTCAAATGTGTGAATTTGATTGCTGAAGAGTGAATTTTTTAAGTTTAGTAATAAACGACATATTAAGGGAGAAAAATTAATCAGCCTGAAAGCATGCAGATAAAACTGTAGATGGTTTTTATGAAGTTGGTAAAATTGGACTGAAGCGTCTCTATATTATTTTCATTGGGATAAGGGGAGGGGGTTCCTTTCTTAACAATGACTAGCATCTAAGTGGAATTCATAATTGTTTAGTAACATTTTATCATTTTTATTGGGTTTTTAGGATCTAAGTTCAAAAATTGATGAAGGCATTGAAATTCTTTAAGTTTGTTATTTGATAAAAGAGATTTTTTTCCATAAATCATTACTTTGAATCAAAGGCATTATCATTTGGTTCATACTCCACAAAAATTTGATCTAGGCTTAATGACAATGTGTGTGAATTAAGTAACATCATTGAGTAACATTTCTATCCTCAACACCGAGTCCTAATAGTGTCCTATTCGAGTTAGTTCATTTTGATATTTGTGGTCCAAATTTGTTCTTCCACATTTAAACTTTTGGTAACTCATTACACAATATCCACATCAATTTCCAAAAATAATACTGTCCCCACAATAATGCTATGACTATCATTACAAAAAATTACAACCACCCTGAGCAGACCCTAACTCAACACATTGATCGGAATAGAAGTTTCCTGCTAGCTAATACGCAAAACAATAATTATAAGCAAACAATAAAAATAGCAGGATGAAGGAAAGCAGGAGCAGGAATAATAAAAGTGATGCAAATTAAAGTTGACAAAGGAAATTATGTTCAAATAAGCAAGTTTTACAAAAGAAAAAATTACTCAAACTAGTGAAAATAAGATAAACGAACCATTTTATCATACCATTTAGAAGTGGGAAAATCATAAGAGACAGAAAGGTAGATAGAGAAAAAGATAACATACTGCTGATCGAATTCGCTGGCTGACATGGAAAACTGCTCTTAGTTGATCATGATGTAAATAGCATAGAATTTTCACCTTGGAATATGCAAGACACCAAAGTAATAATATCAGACATTATGAAATTAGATCATCCCCCAAAAAAAATCAATCAGAGCCTGGGATGAAAACCAAGCACAAGTTCTGCGGTCACATACCAATAGTTCAATGGGGAGAGATTCAAGCCTTGAATGGCACTCAGAGTTTACAGAAGCTGGTGTTCTAGGTGACTCAAGCATTTTAACTTGTCGAATCGCATGGGTTGGCCCTGCTGGAGACTTCAAATTAATTGTTGTTGAAGATGTAGCAGGCATGGTGCTTTGACTACCAATATCAGCTAGGGGTAGTGGATCTATTTTCCTCTCTTGAGTATCCAACATTATCCTTTTCTTTCCCATGCTCTTTTTATCCTTGGAATCTAACACAACCCTTTTCTTTCCTATGTCGGTGCAACATCGGGATGTAGACAAGTTATAACAAAGCTGAGCAAGAGCACCAGGCTTGAGATACTTATTGCTGGACTTCTTAGCACGTCTCTTGTTCTTGTAAGCCATGTTCACTGAGGTTATAGAATATATGGAGCACCCTTTACTTTCTGTCACTATTAAAATGAAGCTGGTTGTAATACTTTCTGATTTTCTCTTAAGCTCTAATGCCACTCTAGAACTTCAAAGGAGATGCTATACTTAGAAGAATGTAGTGATTTCTGCAATTATATGATGGATTTAATGATTTCCTATAATAAAAACAAAAAAGTAAGAAAAATATTTTGGAGAATGTAGAGAACTAAAATTGATACTGTAAAACATAATGCATAATTTCTCGGCCTGTTAACTAACACAGAAAAAGAAAAAAAGTATAAGTTGTTAAGAGTTAATTCATTACGTGATATTCTGTTAATAAACTGGCTACTTATCCCCTATGTACCGACAAAACCATAATTCAGCGAAGAGAAAATTCATATAGATGATGTTTAACCAAAACACTACCTTTGGCAATATCCCAGGCTTAAACTATCAAATTCTGAAATAAAAAAAAAATGCTATAAGGCACATGGTTTGCATCGGATTATTGATATTGAGCATTAAAAATTGGTTTATTTGTAAATAAAAAAAAGTTTTGTGACTCTGCAAAATGACTAATTTGTGACATGAATTGAAAATATTAGAACCCACAATCTCAAATAAGATGTTAGTTGCCAGATAACAAAACTGTTTTTTTTTTTTTTCCCTCAAATCAAAATCCATGAAAACCAAAAGTAGTCAAATTTTTATGGCTAATTTGTTAAGAAAATACACTAAATGGTGACTAATGGTAAAACGTAATATGAATTATGAAATGCTACACTAAACCAGCATTTAGAAGCTATTTTTCATACAATTGGTTCACTTTACACCTTTTGCAGCAAACTAAACGACCCAAAGGCAGGAGCAGACAAACCAGAAGCAAATTAAGAAAATACCAGCTTGAAGCAAATCGTAAGCAACAGTTAATTATTAGAACAAAAAAGAAAACCTTATGTGTATGGGCACATATTTTAAAGTATATGGAATCAAGGCAACAGTAGTCCAACTTTCCTTAATCCTACATCTTCTGAAGTTCTTAGAGCTTAATTAGTTGCAGAAAACATGAAAACTCAATCTAGAAATTTAAATTGCCACACTTATTTAACCCCCACAAGCAGTTATAACCATATATTTTCTTATCGATAAAGCAGCAAATCATATGGTGTGTTGGAATCATTATAACAACATAGCATTGAATAAGGCGAAGTAACAAACTAATAAACTTTTTCGTGACTACTCCTAGCTTTAGTCTCCATTTTGAAAACAGTGATGTTGGCTAAGACAGATCGAATACCCAAGTTCAATAGTTAAGATTTTGAACATAAAGTTCATTTGCTACCCAGGATAAACTATAGCAGATTACACACTTTATCTAATACTTTCAGGAAGCTATTGAACTGGAGAAGCCGAGAAGGAAATGCTCTATAACAAGCCGATGTACTAAGTATCAAATATATGGCGAAAATGATTAACGATATCACAAATAGTTATTGACACCCATCTAGCCGAACAGTGCTTTAACCAAACCCTAAACTAAACTTCCGGGAACTTGTCCTCTTTTCCAAATCCGTTCCTATACTCATTAATAAACACCAAGGAGAATAACAAAACGCCACAAACTAAGAAAAATCCATAAAAATTTGATCACATGAAGAAAATAGAAATACCGACTTTCCTCGGGTTGTGTGCATTGTTTGCATGAAGAATTAGAAGGCCAAACTAAGTCAGAAATCGCAAAATGAACTCACATGGTAAGTGCATTCCATCCACGCTTTCAACCATACCCCCTGCAATTAAAAAATAGATAAACTGTCAAACAAATTAAAATCAATTAAGAAATTGGCCTCAAGAAGTATAAATGGGAAAATTTGGAGATAGTAAGCCCTACCTATTGGCAACCGTACATCGACGACCGACCGACCGTCCGACGACCTTCAACGAGGAATTAAGCAACTGACGAAAACACACCGCCCAAACCCTAGTCGACAAAAAGCTCGGTGAGATAAGTAGAAAAGAAGAGGACGGAAGGTCAGTGGAATCGGCGGGCGAATGGGGAACCCTTCGTTTAAAAATTTCTCCCTATTGCCCGCCAAAAATTTTCGTCTACAGTTCTCAGCTCTTTAGCAAGCGCTAAAATAAAACTATGACAGCACCCAGAGACACACCCACTATTTGTTGTGAGTCGAGACAGAGTAGCATTGGGTGGTACGAAGAAGGGTGCATTAAAAGCATCTTGCATCACTTATGTTGGAATACGTGGCAGAATACGATTGGCCATTTCTTAACTAGCAGTTGGGACACGCAGCAATCTGATCGGACGGCGGGGAGCCCGCCGGCGGGTAGGTCGTCAATCTGAATGTGGGCCCGCGTGGTCGGAACATAAATGGGATTTTAAAGCCCGCTTACTAAGTCACGTTCAAGTGACAAGTCATACATTATTTATGCCACTTTTCTAAAAATCTAAAAGATTGAAAATTAAATTCGAGCTTCAGTTTTCATTCGCAAGATTTTTTTAATTTTTTTAAACAATTTTTTAATAAAAAAATTTTGAACTAAAAAATTATCTTTAAAAAATAATAAAAAAATCGTTTCAAACGAAACATAAATCTAATTAGATAAAACACATAAAAAATTAAATTAATATTCTCCTCAATCTCATATTTAGGGGTGTAAGTAAGCTGAGAAAATAATTGATAATATTTTAAAAAATCCCACCAGGCTTGCGAACAGGCCCGAGCTCGCTTACATTGGGACGAGCACAACTACAAGCTCGAGTCTGAGCCAACTATCTGATCGACGAGCCGAGCTTGATAAGGCCACTACTCAACTCGTTTACACCCACATATTATATTAATCATTATTCATTTGACAAAACAAATTATTTTTTAACCATCCATCATATTTTATTAATTAATGACTGATTATTATATTATTCTAACTGTTGCGTCCTGGAGTATTCGCGGCGGTAGAGAAATATATAGTTTAACATCTTGAGCTTGATAAGGCCACTACTCAACTCGTTTACACCCGCATATTATATTAATCATTATTCATTTGACAAAACAAACTATTTTTTAACCATCCATCATATTTTATTAATTAATGACTGATTATTATATTATTCTAATTGTTGCGTCCTGGAGTATTCGCAGCGGTAGAGAAATATATAGTTTAACATCTTAGCATTGTATAAAGATCCAGCATACAATCAGATAAGAGATAGGGTGTAGCGTTCATAAGATGCACCAGAGTTTTTACGTGGAAACTCCTAAAAGGGGGGAAAAACCACGGGGCATGGCCCAATTTGAAAGAATCTACTAGTATTTGCAGTTGATTACAAATGAGACCCTTCTTAGGAAGAAGGCCTTGGCTTGATGGTACAAATATACATCATATGGATCACATTATATGGTGGGAGTTACAATAATCAACATAGACATGTTTGTTTGGTCAGCTGGACCATAGTTGATAAGATAGATATCGGAAAAATCGTAGTTGACAGGAGACCGGGGTCAGAAAGACTGTTCCCTTGTGATGGAGGTTGTAAGGTTTGTAGTCGGTGGGAGAACGGGGTCAGAAAGACCATTGTCTGGTGATGGAGGTCGGAACGACCTTAGTAGGCGATGGAGGTTGGAAGGATCGTAGTCGGTAGGAGACAGAGGTCCGAAAGACCGCAGTTGGCAGGAGACTAGTGTTAAAAATACCGTTGTCCGGTGATGGAGGTCGGACTGACCATAGTAGGCGACGGAGGTCGGAAGGACTGTAGTCGGTAGAAGACCGAGGTCATAAAGACCGTAGTAGAAGGGAGGTACTTCGGGAGAACTCTCGGCGTTAAGTAGTGGCTCAGTAGAAGTCTATGCCTCAAGTGGTGGTCCGGCGGAGCAACGACGTCAGGCGGTGGTCCGGCGGAGGTGAGGGCCTCAAGTGGTGGTCTGGCGGAGTAACGACATCAGGCGGTTGTCGGGCGGAGGTGAGGGCCTAAAGTGGTGGTCTGGCGAAGCAACGATGTCAGGCGGTGGTCCGACGGATGTAAGGGCCTCAAGTGGTGGTCCGACGGTGGTCGAGGAGGAGTTTATTCCTTCTCTTCCTTCTCTTCTTGCTTTGGATCCCCTCTCAAGAGAAATGATGAGTCTATTTATATATTTCTGGAGTGGCATGACCCTAAAATAGGTGAGAGATCAAGGGCAAATGGGGAGTGTCGGATGGACGGTCGATATTGAATCCCTTGATTGTGGACCATTCGTCAGACATTTGAAGGCCTTAGTGATGTTGAAATTTGGCGATCTTAGTCTCGTTGGATTTGTCTTGTCGAGCCGTTCGATTTGATTATAAGCATGTTATGTTTAGAAACCGTTTCGTAATCCAAATTGTGGTTTGAACCTTCCAACAGCGCTTCTAACTCTTGATTTGGACTCGTTTGGGCTTGGATTGGGTTGGATTTGGTTTTTCTAGGTTTGTATTTCCGAGACGCTCAGTTCGACAATAAGTTTGCTGAAATCAGAGTTCGGATTGTTCCAATTTTAATTTCGTAAGTTTCCAACTTGATTTTGCCTCGAGATTCATGCCCAATCAAAGATAATTTATTTATGATATATCACTAACAAATCTGAAGGATTTGGTTTTTCTAGGTTCGTATTTCCGAGACGCTCAGTTCGACAATAAGTTTGGTGAAATCAGAGTTCGGATGGTTCCAATTTTAATTTCGTAAGTTTCCAACTTGATTTTGCCTCGAGATTCATGCCCAATCAAAGATAATTTATTTATGATATATCACTAACAAATCTGAATTTATATTTATTGGTTTATAGCACAGTAACTCAAACAGTTCTAAGTTTAAGCTAGGGGTGTCAATTATTGACACGACCCGAAATATTCGGGTTAGGGTCAACCCGTTAAACAAACGGGTCGGGTCCGGGTCAACCCAGTAACCCGAAATTGACCCGGGATTGACCAGGTAACTCACTCATTTAGTCATTTTTTAAGTTTTCCCGCGTGGGACTGGGAGGGAAAAGCCGAAAACTCGGA